TCTCAACCTCAGGAACTTTAAGATGTGTGGACTTCGACTCCCAGAATTCCCCAGCCCCTGGGGAATTCTGGGAGTTGAAGTCCTCACATCTTAAAGTTCCTGAGGTTGAGAAACACTGCTTTAAGGGATCCTCAGAAACAAACTCTTCGTGCAACGGAAGGGGAATGGTGGAAAAATGCCAGAGAGATTTTCAGCATGGCATTCGCGGAATTAGAAGGAACGTTTTTTGGCTAAGATGTTCTCCTGCGACAAACCTACCACCCTGTCCTACAAGAGCCTTATTGACAAACCCTGGTTGGGCCACCAAAGTAATGCTACTCCAGAGTATTCACTGGCAGTTTGTGAATGGCAGTGGGGCGAATGCAAGGCAGAGGGGCTGGTGGTAGGCTAGCAAGACCCACATCTACCATGCCAAAATGCAGGAAAGGGTCTGGGCTGGCCCTTAAAGCTGAGATATGGTGTGGCCCCCTGAACAAAATGATGGATGTTTGGGAAAGAAGGGGCTGAAAATCAGGCTGGGGGACAGGGAGACAATCTTAATGGACTTCCTGATCTGTCTTAGAGAAGTGGGAAGACTTTAAATGTTCTCCAGGAAAATGAATCTATTGATTTTGGAGCAAGCAAGAGGGGACTCCACCAGGCTGCTTGGCAGACCGGTTTGCTCGTGTGGGTTGGACTGAAGTGTTGGGGTGCTAGAACCTTGTTCCCCCGCCTCCCATCAGTTAACATGGTTAATAGCAATAGTGGGAGCTGTAGGCCAGCAACATCTGGAGAATGTGCTGCAATGGACAGCTTTCCAAGGGGGAATGATGTTGACCATGAACTGAAGCCACAAATGATGTGCACCTCAAAAGTAGTCTTGATGGGAACATTCATGATAGACCTTGAGCGAAGGGGGGTGTTTGCCCCGGGTTCATGCTAGGTTTGTATTAGGCTACTTGGTCGGAATCTCAGTTTTGGGTTTTGGGGGGGGGGTTGTTTGTTTGTTTTTTTGGTCTCCTATAGAATCACTAAATGTAAGCTGTGTTTCTCAACCTTGGCAACTTTAAGAAATGTGGACTTTTTCTGGGAGTTCGCCCAGAATTCCCCAGGCGGCTTCCATGGACCTCAACTCCAGAATTCCCCAGCTGGCTCCCATGGACTTCAACTCCCAAAATTCTGGGAGCTGAAATCCACCCATCTTAAAGTTGTTAAGGTTGAGAAGTACTGCTTTAGAGGACATCATCGTAATCCAGGAATCTCTGCTTGTTCGATGGATTTTCTTTCACTGAGGTGTGTGTGAGCCCTTGAGGAATTCATGTAAGGGGGAAGGGAGCCCAGCATTGTCGCTAAAGCCCCATCCCAAATCCAATAAATAGCTTTTGCTGTTAGAATTCAACTTCTATCCAAGACAGGAAACGGCCTTTAAGGATGAGCAAAAGAGCTGATTCTG